TATATATATATATATATAATATTATTGGGTTGGCAAGAAAATAATATTTCACACTACAAAACCGAAATGACTTTCTTACCAATCCAATAATTGTTCAATAGGCCACTGTTAATTTCAAAGTATCTTCTATATATCAGTCACATTCAAATAAACTAACTTTCAATTTTCATTTAGTTTTTTTTACAATTGTAAAAAATTCATACGCTCCGGTGGTCACCAATGACCAACATAGCAGTCAAAGTGTTAAAACTTCTAAGATAATAATTCCCAACTCGTTAATGTAACTTATAATAGTGTTAGAACACTTTACATTGAGAAGTATTAAAACATATTTTTTTTTGTTTATAATTAATAAGAGTAATAAAAAATAATGATTATGAATTAATTATTACCTGGGAAGTTTGTCCACGCAGAGCCTCGCTCGTTACGAATAGCAATACAAATAATATCGCTATCGTGCACCACGATAGTCTCCGCTCCATTCTGTAAATAAAACAATTATTTATATATATATATATATATATATATATATATATTAACATTATTATAAATTTTTTATTATTCAAAATATGTTCATTTATTTTTCATGTATACAACTTTTGCATCATCACTTTCACTCGTGTAATTTACCATAACTTTCCATTCCATTCTATTCCATTCCATTTCATTTCAATCTTATAATTGTTCTAACAAACATCCAAACATTTTAAGAATGTAATATCAAAAACATTTATGGTAAATTAGAAAGGAAGAATATGTTTTAAATAGTACAGAACGAGGTTTATACGTATTACTATTTATTTAATGTATGCACATGCAGACGAAACTCGGGCATTGGTTCGTTCGCTCGTTCGTTCGTTCAGTTCGTTGAAATTTACTTTTACTCTTACTTATGTTAGACTACTCCTAGAACTCGGTCTCTCACTAAAAGAACCACCTAGAAAACTTCTTTATAACATAGAAAACTAGATTCTTAAACTCGTGCTTTGAATAAGAAAATTGAAAAGGAAATTATTCGAGTAAAAGAAGAAGAAAATATGAACGTTCATAAAGCTTTCATTTAAGTTTCAGATTGTCATATTTGATAATGTTAAATTGCTCAAAGTTCATTGAAAGTTTCAGGAAAGAGAAAGAGAGAGAAAGAGAAGTGTATTTCAATTCAAGTTAGAAATCGATCTTACGTAACGTAAGTTCGTTATCGAGAAACAACACGTAATATTATTGAGTTTATCTACTTAATTATTTATCTATTTATTATTAACACTATAGCGTCCGGTAGCATTACGCTGGTGATGTCATGCAAAAATTATCTGTTTTGGTACCACAATGGTGCCATTGAAAAAAACCAAAAAATAATATTTGAGTGTTTAAGGGAGCATAATAACTATAAAATTGTACTTAATTAACCAAGAATTTTGTAAGAACAATTTTTGGATAACATGGATTTAATTAAAGCAATAAATATTGTCACCATCTTCTAAATTTTTTCAAAGTCCTAAATTTCCAAGCTAATTATGGAAACAATAAGAACAAAAGAAACATATCTAAGATCTAAGGACGGCATAATGTTAACATTAGTTTAACTATTGATATCGATAAAAAAACAAATGATGAATTTATTAAGTTTACCTTGAAAACAAAAAGATCTTTGATTTTGTAGAGATGAAATTGATGAAATTCGTGACGAGTTCGTTACTCCCTATCCCGTTCGCAGATCGCATACAAATCGCGGATCACGCGAGGAGTTAAGAAAAGGAAGATCAAGATCACACAACCACGCGAGAGGATCGACGACCGTACTCGAATCACCGTACTCGAATCACCGTTAGGCTCGATCGCGTTCTACATATATATATTATAGTAGGTGATAGAAAGAGAAAGAAAGAATCCATTTCATTCAGGATTCAACCTACACGTGTGACGTTGTGTTATTCTTCCTTTAAATGGTAAAATTATTTTCCTAATACGATAATAGTATATATATTTATATATGTATACATTTTTATGTATATTTTGAAAAGTAGAAAAAAGAAACAAATATATAAATAAATTATATATAATATAATAATATATATTAATATTATATATATATATATTACAATATACACAACATATAATGCAATATATTACATATAATAATATAATATACACACAAATACAAATATATAACAAATAAGCTATTTATTATATATCAAATATTTATATATTATTAATATTAACTATTTTATAATTATATAATTATTTATTATTTATATATATTATATAATTACTATATTTTATAATTATTTAATATTAATTATATTTAATATTATTTAAATATTTATTTATTATTATTTATATTTATTATATTATTTATTTATTATTATTTATATTTATTATATTAATTATTTATATATATTATATAATTATTATATTTTATAATTATTTGATATTTTAATTATTTATAATATATTAATATTTATATATAATAATTAATATAATATTAATATTAATTATATATATATATGTGGGATTTGTGAAAAAAATTGGATCGCTGACCGCGGGGACTCGAACCACGGATCTTTCGCTTACCGGGTTAATCGAACCGATTATCTTCCGCTTTAACCAATTGAGCTATCCAGAGCTCATCAGACAAGCCATCTCAGGAATGCCTAATAAGTTTGGCATGAAAGCGTTCGTCCCACATATATGTAAAATATAATAATATAATATTTATAAAATAATTAATAAAAATAAATATAATATAATATTAATTAGCGTATACTATTCCAACTATATATATAGATGGAAAATTTTCAAGGCGTATGAAAAATCAAATGAAAATATGAAGAAGACGATTACGAATAATAAGATTGTTCGAGATAAGAAAACGTGTGAATTTAAACTATTAAAAAGACAATTGCGGATGCACCGAAGCAAAAAATACCAAGGACGAATGTTGGATCTTTGCAAAATGGTATATTAAACGAAAGAACGAAACGAACCATGTTATAATATCGGCCAACTTTCTATCGTAAAGATATGTTATTACGAGGAAACAAAGAAATCGAACATTACAATAAAAACAATGCAGTTTATCTCTTTTACACAGATGAACAATTTTGTATATATATATATATATATCCTTTTATTTAAGGATATAGATGAAAATCTTCTAGAAATCTTTTTAGAAAATGACCATTTGTTTTAAGTAAAGTTCGATTAACTTAACTAAAATCACGCTCGAACGAGATCGCAAGCGAATCGAAAGTAAATTCTTTTCGAGTTGTCCATGGAGCATGTCGGTAACGAACACTATACGCTCGAATCCGATTTATCGAACTAAGTTAGCAAGTAAATAAACGAGTAAGGGAAAACGATACTAAGTTTTGTATCAATTTAAAATATTATATCCATTGTAAACATATTTGTAAGTTTCATTGAACTTCACGAAAATCCTGTGTTCACATATTTGTGCTTTGCGTTTTATTATTGTATAATTTTTATATTATATTTATATTATATTATAATTATTATATGTTTAATATTAATTATAATTATATTATTAATATTTATTATATTATATGTATTATATTATAATTTTTAATTAATTATAAATTTTGATAATGAAAAGTTGTTCTGTTTAAATTTCTAAATCTAAAAAGAGCATATATTTCAAATATAATTGTTTATTTTTAATTTATCTTGGTATCAAAACAAGTTTTTTTTTTAAATAACGCCGGAAGGTAATGTGTTAGACTATATGTAACTATAAAAAATTAATATGTGATTTAATCTTTCCTAGAACTAGAAAGATAAATGAAATTCTTCAATGTAATTCATTAAAACAACGGATTAAAAGGATTATGTAACACACGGTGTATCATTGGAAATTCAATCGGTATTTATGACTGTACGTATCAACATAGAAAAAGAAATATGTTAATATGAATATAAAGGAAGGATAATTTAAATCATTTCACATATTTTTCTTATGTTTTACGTAAGAGAAGAAAAGAAAAAGAGAAAGAAATACTAAGAGAACATCTGGTGGTTCGTGAAAGTAGTCTGAAAGATTGTCGACAAGGAACGGTCAGTTAATTTCATACCAGTTCGTTTAATATTTCTCTCGATTACGTTCACTACGGTAGAAACTTCAAAGTTCACTACCGGAAATATCAAAAATCCAAAAAAATAAACAATGATAAATAAATACAAACAAAAAAAAAGAGAAATTAATCTTACGTTTTACCTCTATAAGACTATTTCAAAATAAACTCACCTAGCAACTTCTCAATACTTCCGTCCGATGCAATGTTTCATTTCAATATTACAAACAGATTGCACTAATATTTGTTTTTTCTTTTATTTTTTTTTTTTTTGTTTACTATTATTTTTTCTATTTACTCGTAGAGAGAAGAAAAAAAACAGAACCCACAAATATACAAATATATGTTCTAATTAATGACGAATACCAAAAAAAAAAACAAAAAACAAAACTCGTAAAGAGTATCACTTCGGAGGAAATGAAAATTTGTAAATTTCGCGCGCAAAATTTTACTAACACTCCCGAAAAACGCGGGAAATTTGAATTAAAAAAAAAAAAAGAAACGAAAAGAAACGAAACAAAATGAAAAATGAACAACAAAAAAAGATTAAGTCTTTTTTACAACCACGTGTATCATCTTCAATCTCTCTTTGGTTTTTTTATTTTTTTTTTTTTTTACAAATATATATGGACGTGTATATGCGTGCGCGTGCTCGTAATAAACGCAAAACGTTCGAACGTTCGTCGTTACCGAATGCTCGTAGACAAGTGGAAGTCGATCGAACAACTCACTGTGTCAAAAATCCTCGCTCTGCAAAATGGGGGAGAAAAAAAAAAGCATCAGGTCGACAATGTGTGCCGACGTTTTCCCTTTCGCCCAGTAACCACCACCATCACAAACACCACCACCACCACCATCATGACCACCACCACCATGACCACCTTCAGCACCCGTCACCGTCTTATCCCTACCTTTACCAATGCCATCGACTTTGATCTTCATGACTTTTCTCCACCTCTTTTTCGTTTAACGATAAACATCATCTTCCATCCCACTTTGGTCTAATTTCATCTATTTCTTCTTCTTTAACTTTCATTTTTGATTTCCTCTTCAATAAAATTCCTAAAAAAAAAAAGAAGAAGAAGATACTTGTTAGAACAATGCATTCGTTTAATACAATCGCGGCCGACATTATTTTTCCGTTTCTTTTTTCGTTAAATAGTATATTTAAATAAGAATATTATATAGTTAATATATTTAACTATATAATAAATTATAATTAATATATATTATATAATTATGATATAGTTAAATATTATATTTAAATATTATATTTAATATTACATATAATACTAACTAATAATATAATAACTAACTAATATAATAATATATAATATATAATATTTAATTATTATATTAAAATAGTTAAATATAAATTATATATGTAAAATTGTTATAAATATTTAAATATAAATTTTATATATATAAAATACTAATAAAGTAATAAACAAATAATAATAAAATAATACAAATTTATATAATATATAATAAATAATATATAAATTTATTTTTAATAAATTTTTAAAATGTAAAATGACGTTAATCACGTCAGTGGCAATTAAGAGTAGAACTTGAAAAAACGTGAATTCACATCAGCGATCATGAATGTGTAAATAATTCATCTTTAATTAATTTTAGTTAATTTTCTCTCTTTTGTTGTAGTTTAAAATTCGCGTGTATTGGAAATAAATAAATTTAAAAATAAATCTTTAATGAGAGAATGTTCAACGACTAACAAAGTCACTTCCGATTACATCGATGAAGAACAAATGTTTTCTCTTCGTCTTTGCGTGCATTTATTCGCTCTCTCATTAAATTGTGAAAAAAAGAATTGACGCGTGTAATGGGTTGCAATTGATCGGTATTAATTTAGGTGAAATTTATCGCGAAAGCTTGTATTTTCAAAGACATTTCTCCTCACGATAAAATAGAAATTTCGCTCATGTGTGTGAAGTATGTCAATTTCTTTTCTCTTCGATTGAAGACTATATTTACAAAATTATTTAAAAAAAAAAGAGAAAAAGAAAGAAGAAACATTTATTTCTATGATATTATTATATGAGAAAAATATCAATCTTTTAATCGATTTTACCTAATCGATTAAATCCTCCAATTTTCTTCCGATTTTTTTTAAATTTAGTAACACACTTGTAGTAGTCCATGAGAAGATTCACTGTGCCTTTAAAGTTTGTGTAAATAACCAGCCGTCTGCGAAAAACAAATGGGAAATATGCCTACAGGTGCACTGACGTCTACCTGTAACAGAAATTTAAAAAAAAATACATGTAAAACATAAAATTATTATACATATTCATTAAATAAATTTATGTAAAATATTTAGAATATATTTTAAATAAGTAGTACGTGATTTTTTGATTAGATGGCGACACACATATCTTACCGGTCGGTAAAATAAAGTAATAGTTATTTTATTTATGCCGCTAGATGGCGACAAATATTTTACCGATCGGTAAAATAAAGTAATAGTTATTACCGTTAGATGGTGATAAATGTTTTACCAGTCGATAAAATAAAGTAATATTTATTATCGCTAGATAGCGTTACATATTTTATCAGTCGGTAATAAAATACTGCAATACCCGTAATAGCAATATAGAACATACATTAAAACATATATATCTAGTCATTTATTTTTAAAGTTATTTTATTTAAATTACTACGAAACAATGTCACAATAGCTTACAATAAAAATAACATTAATTATATTGCTATGCATTTATTTATTATGTATTGAAATATTTACGTAAGTTTGTATTAATTTAAAATAAAGTTTCTATTAAAAAATATCGAGTGTTTGGAGTTTAGGACGTGTTCGGAATCGATGAGTAATAATATCACATCTAGCTAGTAAAAAACAATTACATTTATTAAATATATGTCTCAAGAAAACGTATAAGAAAATTCGTAAACCTGATGATCGAGACGTACGATGTTTACCCCATGCGATGCGAGCCTTGACTGACTAATGAGGTGGAAGGGGAACAGTGACGCGCTACTAGTGCCACCTTCCTCTGGTGTCTGTGCTGCCCTCTGATGTTACTAGCAGGAGATGACTGAGACGTCATAGTATATTTTCTCCTAAGATGGCGAATCGTTAGAACTTTTAAAGTTCACATCTGTAACATGGTTTGACGTATGTCAGATATAAGAAAATGTCAGATTTTACAATATTAAGTAGAAGAAAAACATAATATGTAGATTTATATATTATTATGTTTATAATATTAATACTGGACAATAATAAAGATAGCCTAACGATATCTCAAACACATAATCTCTTTAATATATAATATAATTATATTAATTTATTATTTGACGTAAACATACATGTGAGTTGCATATGTATATATATATATATATACTATTGACAGCTTGTAATAATGTGTTAATTAAATGTTACACAATATTAGAATATTTTATTCTCTGATGTAATATTATTATAATTACTATTTCAGTTACCAAACAATATTTCAACTAATTCCATTGTATAATAGGAAGTATTGTAATTGATTAGGAATTTATTATTATAGTTACAATTTAAAAAACAAAAAATGGGTGATGCAAATGAGAAGACAATGGAAAAGAATGAAAATAATACAGGGGAACATACTTCATCATCAATATCAGAAAGTACATTTTTCATTTAATATAAAAATTTAGATTTAATTCAATAACACTGACATATTTATTATTAATCAATGCTTATAAATGATTAAAAAAAACTATCTTTTTATATATACTTTCTCATATTTTAGATACTCAATCTACTGATATTCACTCAACAGATGCAAATAAAGAAGAAACAGAAAGCAATAAATCTGCAGGAAAAAACAAAAATGTAGAAACTAGTGATACTCAAGTAATAAATTATCTTTTTATGTAGATAATAATTTTTGTATTACATTTAAATGCATTAATGTTTGTAACGTAATTTTTTTAAGCAATCATCAACCATACAACGAGATACAGAAACCGTAAAACAATTGAAGAATCAATTAGAAATTGTAATGAATTCTTTGGCCACATTATCAGCAGAAAAATCGAAGATGGAAGCTAATTTTCAAAACGACAGAAAACAATTAAGAATGGAACGTGAAGAAGTGAGATATTGTTTATTATTTTGATAAATATTTATTACTATTATTTGCATATGCTGTTTGTTTTACCATCATATCTTTGTTTTTATTCAGTGCGAGAAAGTAATAAGAGAATTAAAAGAAAAATTAAAAAAGGGACAAAATCATAATGTATCTGAAATGGAACATATTAAATGTAAATTAATTATGGAACGCCATGAAAGGGAGAAAGAAAGAGCGAATCATGCATCTGCAATAAAGTACGTAATACTACAGATGTACCAGTAAGAATATGCTCCTGCAGTTTGATAGCTAAATGGTAGCTAAATCCTTGGACACTTTGTATAAATAACACGGTATTTAATATTAAGTATGATCGTTACATCTTTGTAACATAATACATTTTTCAGAGAACTACAAAAGATGTTACATGAAGAACTTCGTAATAAAGAACAATTGGAGCAGCAATTGAAAAATTTATTTGCCAATAAAACGCAATGTAAAATTTTAGAAGCGGAATTAGAAATAACGAAAAATAAATTGAAACAAGCAGAAGAAGCAGCTAAAGAGACACCACCTCTTCTTCTTTCGTTACAAGCTGAAATGGTTGCTATGAAAAAGCAACATCGTGATGCTATACTTGAAGTAAATAATGTTATGTTATATCATTCATGTATTACATATATTGAATCATATGATATAATTCATTTTTATTGTTAAATTATTAAGGAACAGAGAAGAGCAGCAGCTGCAGAACAACAAGCTAGAGTATTAGCTATGACTCATGAAACAAGAGTAGCAGGTTTGGAATCTCGCTTAGCTGAACTTTCCGAAACTGTTGGAGAATATGATAGATTACGGCAACAAGATCAACGATCTATTCAAAATCTTAAGGATCAGTTATCTAATATGCAAGATGTAGAACACAAAGAATGTGTCAATGTGCCAAGCGAACCAGAAGAAATTATTTCAAAAATAAAAATGTTATATGGACGTTTATTACATTTAGACAATAAAAAAGATGATTCAGCTTACGTTGAATGTAAGTAAAATACCAATTGAGTTAATAGATATATAAAAATATCATAAAATAAGTAATATTTTTGTAATAATTTGTAACTACTTTGAACTTTCAGTGTTGTTAAAAAATTTAGAATTAAATGGTAAGTATAAAGATTCTGAATATAAAGAAAAGTATGAATCTTTATTAGAAGAATTTAAAATGTATAAAGAGCAAATAGCAACTAAATATGATGTTGATACAAGCCTTTTACGTAAAGGGCATCAACAAACTTATAACTTAATGGATTTACGTGATAAAGAAAATAGTAAAACTCAATTGCATTTACTTAAAACTCATAATACCAATTTAGAAGAAAGAATACGCACATTAAATAGCAAGTTAATACAAAAAGAACAAGAATTACAAATAAAAATAGATCATTACCAAGAGGTATACATATATAAATTCTTTTTATAAAACATATATTATCTAATATAAAATATTAACGATATTACAAATTTACAGTTCTTACAAGTGGAACGTGCCAAATCAGAAAATATATTATCCCAAAAGGAAAATGAATTTCGTAGTAAGTTGTGTACATTGGAACAACAATTACTGCGGCAAAGAGAACGATCCATCGCACTTGTTCAAGAAAAAGAGAAAGAAATCTTTGCGTTGAAAGCTTCGTTTCATGCATTATTACCAAAAAAAGATTCATCTTTTTTGGAAGGTGAAAGGAGTATAACAAAATACGAAAATAAATCAGAATCCTCTAACGATATAGTAACAGGATTATTAAATAATGATAGTCCTCCTATATTACATTATACCCAAGAATTGGCAAGACACGAAGTGCAAATATCATCTACCAGAAAGAGAATATTAGAATTAGAAGCATCATTAAGGGAAAAAGATAGACAATTGCTTCATGTAACCGAAAAACATAAAGAAGAATTAAAAGCTGTACAAACACAAGTGGCAAGGTATTTCAACATTTACAATCATTGAGTATATATAAACGGTAAACATATATTTTTGTATATATTCTTATGATTCAGGTTAGAAGCATGTAAATCTAGAGAAGGAGCCAATTTAGAATATTTGAAAAATGTATTAATCAATTATTTAACCACAAATGATTCATCGAGCAAACGACATATATTAAATGCCATATCTACAGTTCTACGATTTACACCAGATGAATTAGAGAAGGTCAATCTTGTTAAATAGATTTTGAAATGTCAGTAATTATAAAAAGAAAACATATCTCTATATGTTTTTATATTTTCATTATATATACTTACACTATTAATGAAATATTAATAAAATATTGTTAATGAAAAAAAAAGGAAATAAAATTAATTAAAATAAATATATAAAAGTAAACAATTATTTATTCTGTGAATCATTATTAAGATTTTCAGATATATTTGTACTATTCTCTATAGGCTTACTTGGAGATTCTATTTCTAAAGTAACAGGTCCGTTATTTTGTATGCTAACATCCATCATTGCTCCAAATATACCATCTGTATAAAACAATTAAATTACAATCCTTAATCCTATTTTTGTTTTAACAAAATTAAAAATCAACTACCTTTAATTAGTTCTGGTTTATAATTTTTACCCAACTCATTCAAAAAGTTATTATAAAATTGTTCTGACTCTTGAGCTGGCATTGCTCTATGAAAATCAAGTTTATTTCCTTTTAAAACATGATACAATGTAAACTGGCTGACGCACAAAATCTCATATTTTTTATCCATAACACTGGCACTCCATTTCTTGTTACCATTTTCAAAAAGCTTGGTATTTAAAATCTTTTTTACTCTATAAAAATATTACATCAATTGAGATTTTATTAAATATTATTTAAATAATAAAATTAATAATTAATACAAATACGATAAATACATGTACTTTAAGTCATCCAAAGTGTCACCTCTTTTTATACCAATTAATACACAGATTCCATTTCCAATACTACTAATAACTTTACCGTCCACTGAAAATAAAATATGCAAAGTAAGATATTTTTTAAATAATTAATATGATACTACAAACATATACGATTGGCTATTGTTATAATAATCAGTTATTTTCAACAATTAATTTTTTTGTAAAGTATGTGTACATTACCTGTAACAGAGGCACTTGTTACACGTTGTATTACTGCTTTCATATTCTTTCTCAATCTTTATTATTAATTAATTATATATACATTTTATCAAATGGATATAACACATTAATCTTTCATTATTTGCAGAGGTTAGGTTCCTGCAATGTTATGTATATAACGAAATTGCTGGTTACGAGACTAGATGAGAAAGTTAGGTTAAAATTCTGTAATTTTGTTTAATTACGAACATTGAATAATTTACATAGTTTTAATACTGTCATAAATAAATAAATTTTGAAATTAAAAATAAAACAAGAAATACAATAGTGTAATTAACATCACAATTGTTACATACATATATGCAATAACAATTAACGACATCGAACAAACTGTACTATAGATGTTAGTATTTAGAATATAAATAGTCTATAGAATAGATTTGATTTATTTTTCTTTTAATTCTTCGATCTAATTCAAGAACTTGATTAGTTAACTATTCTACTAATGAAATTATCTCATTCAATGTTTTTGATTTGTATTCGCGGTAATTTTCGCGCCAAATTTTGAACTGCGGATAACCAAAGCCGCGAATAATATGAGATTTAAATCTTGATTATTAATTTTCTATCATTTCTATTATAATTTTAATTTAACGTTAGTCTATCTTTATATTAGTATTATATATGCATTTTATTAAATAGATTCAATATTGATAAGGCAATATTTCGATAAAAATAACACTCGATTATTTATAATCAATACTTTAAAATTCCGGAAATGCATTTTTCGAGATATGCATGCAATATTGTAAATACGATGCACAAACTCCGTGAGTGCACACGTGTTTTAATAAAATAACAACAATATAGTAATAAATACAACAACAAAAATTATTATAAACAATCGAAACATAAAACTATAAAGTTGGTTATTCTGTCTAGAATATTTTTCAAAGCCATTATATTTACAATAGAGTGCGCTTCTGCATATCCCCGGAATGAAGTAAACGAACGTAAGTTAACCTGCTGGATTAAACTAAATGATAAAAAGTATAAATATTTAGATATGTTTGTGCTTTTTTTATAGAAAAAAATTCGTAAAAACTAATGCAATTTGTATTTTTATTTAACTTTTGTGTGATAATAGATATATATATATATATATTTAATCTATAAGTTTCACAAAGATAAATATCTTTTTAATAAAAAGTAAGATTGCATGTAGGTAAATTAATAAAACAATGTATATTTATGATGCATTTTTATATAAAAAATTTGATAAAAGATAAAAAATATCTTGATTATTTTGATTGTAGATATTAAATATGTCAGAAACGGAGAATAATATTGGACAAGAAATGGAGGCACCTACTGAGCCTGATGCAGTCTCAGAAGAAGATAAACAATTTTTACTGGATTATGTAAAAGAAACTGAACAAAGATTAACGAATAAAGAAGAAATTAGAGCTGCCAATTTGAATCCCACGAGACCACCAGATACATATTTCAGTAAATTGGATTCGAGTCTGAAAAGAAATACAACATTTGTTAAAAAACTTAAAAATTTCAGTGTGAACCAGTTAGATGCAGTTTTAAAAGATATGGCCAATTTAAATTTGACAAAGTATGTCAGCGAAGTTGCTACTGCATTGGTCGATGCTAAATTAAAAATGACTGATATACCATCGGCAATTAAAGCTTGTAGTTTCTTACATCAAACGTATGCAGAATTTTCTACTCATTTCTTTGAAAATTGGCAAAGAATATTGTCCTTAAAGATTGGAGAAAAAATTGCTAATCCAAGTAAACTAAGAGTAGATTTGCGTTTTTATGCAGAACTTGTGAATGCTGGAATTTTTACGCACAAACAAGGCTTACCACTTCTTGGCTCGGTATTAACTGTTTTAATTAACATGGATAAAGAGGAACACAACAATGCAAGCATAATATTAAGTTTTTGTCGTCATTGTGGTGAAGATTACGCAGGTCTTGTTCCTAGAAGGGTAAGAGAATTATCGGAAAAAGTAAATATTACAATACCTAAAAGCAAATTACTTTCTCCTGACAAGCAACAAAATGTAAGATATTTATTACGGGATTATTATAATTCATTGTGTAAGCATTTATTGAAAGAACACAAAGAACTTCAAGCATTTGAAAAACAAAATCGTAAGATTTTACAAACAAGAGGTGAATTGAGCGCAGAAAGGAAAGAGAAATTAGAATCTCTTCAAGTATCTTATGACCGTCTTCTTAGCGGGGTACAAAGTTATTCTGATACCTTAGATGAACCAATACCTGAACTTCCTGTAGATGTAGAAATAAAGGCAGAAGCTGAGGAAACATTAAAAATGATTAACGAAGGTGAAGAAAATAGTATTCTGGAAGATATGTGGGGAGACGATGAAACCAGACGATTTTATGAAGTTCTACCTGACTTAGTAGTATTTTTACCTGGATCATATCCAAAAGAAGTACCAAAATCTGATGCTCCTATTACAGAAGAAACTTTGGACGAAGACATAACGTTTGACGAATTAGAAGAGACTGAAAAAGTAGATGAACCAGAAGTAGAAACAGAGGAACCTCAAGTTTCCAACATAAGTAATAAAATATTATTAGATGCATTTCTTAGTCATTTGCCAAATTGTGTCAATCGCGAAATGATTGACAATGCAGCAGTTGATTTTCTTATAAATTTGAATTCAAAGCATAATAAGAAGAAATTAGTAAAAGCATTATTTGGTGTTTCGAGAATACGTTTAGATTTGTTGCCATTTTATTCTCGTTTAGCTGCAATTCTATATCATGTAATGCCCGAAGTAGCTAATGAATTATGTTCGATGTTAAAACATGATTTCAAATATCATGTTAGAAAAAAGGATCAAATTAATATTGAATCAAAGATAAAAGTAGTACGTTATATAGGCGAACTTGTCAAATTTAAACTTTATTCAAAAATAGAAGCATTATATTGTCTTAAAGTATTACTTCATGATTTTACTCATCATCATATTGAGATGGCATGCAACTTGTTGGAAACTTGTGGAAGATATCTTTTCTGTTCTCCTGACTCTCATCAAAGAACGAAAGTTTATTTAGAACAGATGATGCGTAAAAAGGCCGTTACTGCATTAGATTCTCGTTACGTAACAATCATTGAAAATGCATATTACTTTGTAAATCCTCCTGAATCAACTGGTGGAGTATCTAAAAAAGATAGACCTCCTGTTCACGAATTCATCAGAAAACTTCTATATCAAGATCTTTCTAAAACAAATACAGATAAGGTACTTAAATGGATGCGCAAGCTAGATTGGGAAGATGAAAGTGTATCATCGTATGCTATCAAATGTCTTACTGCTGCATACAATGTAAAATATTTAAATATTCGATGTGTTGGAAGTTTATTAGCTGGATTGGTAGCTCATTATGAAACAATAGGTCCTCACGTGGTAGATGGTGTATTAGAAGACATAAGACTGTGTATGGAAATCAATTTACCTAAATTCAATCAACGTCGTATTGCCATGGTTAAATATCTTGGAGAATTGTATAATTATCGTATGGTTGAGAGTGGTGATATTTTTAGAACTTTGTATCTGTTAATCACATTTGGTGTAAACATGGATCATTCTGTTCCAAGTATTCTTGATCCACCCGAACACTTATTTAGAATTAGATTGGTATGTACACTTTTAGAGACTTGTGGACAATACTTTAGTGGAGGTTCGAGTAAGAAAAAGCTCGATTACTTTTTAATATTCTTTCAAAATTATTATTGGTTCAAGTATACAGATCCTATATGGACTCCTGAAAATCCTTTTCCAGTAGGAATAGATTATATGTATCGAGATACATTGACCATGCTCAGGCCAAAAATGCCACTTTTTAACAGTTATAAAGAAGCTCAATGTGCTGTTGAAGAATTAAGAAACATATTGTATCCATCTTTAGGAAGTACAACAACCGCAGAAGAAATTGAACACAACGAAGGAGATTCTGAAATGAGTGTAATCATAGAAGGAGATGAAGAATTACCTATGACACCTGGAAACGGAGGTGGTGATGCAAAAGGAATAGGAGATTTGCACTTTGAAGAATCCGAAGACTGTTCTGAAGCACAATCTGAAGAAGATTGGACAGCAGAAGCAGAAAGAGATGCAGGAACCCAAGAAAATACTCAAGGAGAACAAAGTTTATCGGAAGGTGCTACTGAAGGAGTTATAATGGATGGTACAGAATTAAATGCTGCTCTACCAGCAGGTCCCAAAAAAATGACCTGCCCAGAAGACGATGATTTTCTTTCTGCGCTTGACAAAATGGTATCTGATAATATACAGGATAGAATGCGGGATGCTGTTAAACCGCAACAAGTTGATATATCTGTACCACTGCATATAAAAAGTACAAAAAAAACATACGAGCAATTGCAAGTACAATCATCTGACAATTCTATGGTGGACTTCACGCTAATGCTTAGGAAGGGTAATAAACAGCAATACAAAAATTTAGCTGTACCAGTATCCTCAGAATTAGCTATGAATCTTAGAAATCGTGAACAAGAACAAAAAGAGGAAAAGGAACGTGTAAAAAGATTAACACTTAATATAACAGAGAGACAAGAAGAGGAAGATTATCAAGAAACTATTAATCAAGGTACAAGGCCAGTAACAGTTAATTTAAATAGAGAACGACGACAAAAATATAATCATCCTAAAGGTGCACCCGATGCTGATCTTATATTTGGACCAAAAAAAATTCGGTAAATTTGTACAAAGTTTTCTACTATTCTGAAAAAATAATGATTTCGAACTTTGCGAGTGTTCCGTGTAATCTCACTCTTTGGAATTTTGATCGATGTGAAACAGTGCAATTGTTCTTTTACTTTTAATTAAAGACAAGATATATCTATTGTTTACATGGATTTCTCATTTTTTGATTTTGTTAATAGCTTTAAGAGTAATAGTATTGAATAAATTATGAATGGATATAAGATTGCATGAAAAATGTCATCATGTTAGAAACTATTACAATTGAGTGTGTCAAATTCTAATACATTTGAAATAATACCTCTCCAAATACTTCCATGTATTACTTACGATTAATCTTATTTTCTAATATTTCATATAATGTGCACATCATGATTAAGAACTCTTATGCACAAATAAATATTTCTATAAAAATTGTCGATGTGCAAAATACGTCTTTTTCATTATAAATAAACTTTAAAATTTAACTATCTGTGCATATAAAAGAATGATCAATTATATTTAATGTAGTCCTATTTATTTTTTACCTAAGAAATTATCACCATGTACAAAATGAATATAAATAAATGTTAGGTGCTTTTCCGTTCGAGACGCAGTTTTGTCTTATAGCGCTTGCAATAATAGATATTACATATCTACCGAAATATATGAAATTAATAATCATATAAAGTAATACTAAATGCATATCAGCATATATTTATATAATTTTAATTTATGGATCCTCTTCTGCATCTTCAAATTGACCTGCTTCAATATCCATTGGTTCATCTGCCTCATTACCATTTTGATGGTTACCTCCTATTTGTTCTATAGATAATAAATTAATAATAAAATGTTTAGGAAAATTCATAATATCGTCAAATATTAAATAGTTTACCATTAAGTAATATGTACGGAGCATCACCGGCACCAACTTCATAATATTCAATATCAAAATCATCTTCTTCTGCATCTTCATAAATGTCTTCTTCATCTTTAAACATATACATTTGAAATATATATTACATAATGTACCAGTAAACCAAGAAAGCATACAATTTCATAGATATCGATTACCATCAGAAAAACTGTCTTGTGGATCTGGATGAAGAGCTTGACAATGATTCATCGCTTCAAACATTGTTGTCAAATTAGTCGTATCATCAGGTACAAAACTCATCTCAGTCAAAGGTGTATCTCCTTCGTCTTCTTCATTTTCTGAATCATTTTCAGCAGATGGTGACAATTGTACATCTGCAAACGAATCAATTTTAATGATACACCTTTCTTTTAATTATATTATTTTCAACTTTTCACAAACAAAAAACAACACACACACATGTGTTTAGCGTATAACTTCTGATGATTTTTATTAAGACACATACCCGAAAAATCTTCCACCATAATGTATAAACATTGCCTAGGATGAATCTGTTGATCTTGGGAGATTGCATGTACGGATATATGTTCATAATTAAGGGAAAACCCTTGTTGTGTTTCGCTGTCTATCCAGGATAGTACACTGTCACAATGTAAATTTATATTAGAAAAATGTATATCAATAATAAATTAATTTGAATACCTTTCTGTAATATAAAGAGTTCCTTTTCCAACCTCCTTAGAGTTAACGTATACAGTGGTGTTTGGTTCTTTATGACGGATGCCTTCCTGTGGTGCTAGGAAACTGCTAAGCACTACCATTTTTTCACCTGTAATGTCCGTATATACGTGTTCCTTGATTAAGGAATATTAGAATTTAGATTCTAAAACACTTTCAAAGCAGATATCACACGAGAAAATCGTAATAGAACGTGAGTAAGATTCAAACCTATGTGACATTTGAGGTTATACTACATCTATGAGAGTAATGTAAATAAATGATTCATTCGAATCTCCGAAGTATAATTTATCAGAGACTATTGGTATATGTTTTGTCAACGGTGTAGGTCCATAGAAAACTTGAATTAACCTGATACCGGGATTTTGAATGGTGATTTTATATAAACGTTGCCGATAAATATACAGTTACGCGTTAAATAGGACTTGAGCTCACCAAATCTATATTTAACAAAGATTCTTAATTGCCAAAAATTATTGACATTAAGTTCTTTGTAAATACTAATATTTACTCACAGCTCTTGCCTTATTTCTTTTTACACTACGCTATTGTAAACACGACACACGATGTACAAATTTTTACGACTTGAATATATGCGAAATTCTCTCTATTAAAAGACGCTGATTATTCATTCAACTTCCTAACTTCAGACCGTTTCGATTTCACTATACCTATAGCACGTAAGAAACGATTAGTTTCGAGATTAGTTTCATTCGATTAGTTTCGAGATTATACGCGCTAAAAATTCGATTATTTAAAAATGAGATAGATAATAACTTTCTATTAAAACTACACTTTTGTTTTTATTCACACCAATTAGAATAAAAGAAAAACTGATATAAAATCGTTTAAATATTATCACTGCATTTGTTTGAAGGTTAAACGATAAGAGAATAAAATTAGAAATAAGAAATATCGTAAAATGACATCTTCAAATATTGAATTAAAATTGCATTTGACAAATGAGTATGTTAAAAGATTAAATTGTTTTTATATAATTCTTTTATCAATTAGAATAGAACAATTGTATAAATTTATTTAAAAATTATAATAATACAATTATTTAAATTTAAAACAATGAAAGAATAATATTAGAAATATTAGAAGAAACTTTAGAATGCCGTCTGAAAATGTTTTATTAAGATTACATATGGCAAGCGAGGCTTTTGTTTCCAATTCCTCGGACTGAAAATTCATCTTTGTAACAGTTTTACGTACATACATACATACTGCCAATAGAATACAAAGTGTTTTCACAGTTTTCCTTTATTTAATTCGCTACTTCAAAAACCTTGGAGATGTCACCTCGACACGTTCAAACTCTTGTCCAGATATCTTTCTCTCTCTCTCTCTCTCTCTCTTGTGCGAATTATTTGTTAATCTTATAAATCTGTACTATGCGAATACTACGCTTTGAACAATAACCTGGACTGAGCAACATAGTAATTATAGTATTTCCTTTAGGACGATACCTCTTTGAATGATGAAATGCAATGCTACTTATTTCTATCACGATGTTAAAGAAATAAAAATAGGAAATACCTTTTTAAAAATGCTATTCTTAAACAATGTTAAATAAAATTTGTTCTATGGCATTATATTAAAAATAAAAATACAAACTAAAAACTAAAAACTAAAAAAAAAAAATAGAAAATAACAAGAATTAAATAAATAAAAATATTTCTTACAAATTAATAGCAAAAATAATCAAAATTGTGCGTTATAAAAGAGAATACTATAATGCGTTATACCCAGTAGTGCATTTTATGTTTGATTATAAATGGCATCGCGAATCTCTTGAATCAATGAGACTCCTGAGTATTTCAGATTCACTCGCGAATGTTTTAAAGCAAATTTCTATACAATAGAACAATATGGATATAATTTATAATAGAATTAAATAGCTATGCTACATAATGGATCATGACTAAATAGTACTAATGTTAATTGTGCATGTTTCATAAGTCGTGTCCATGGGTAACTGTATTTTTTTTTTTTTTGTTACTGTTTCAAAGGGCACAAGTTCCAAAAAGAGACAATGCACAACATGTAACATGTCAGTCGATAACATTCTTGATATGTTTTATATTTTTAAATATAGTAAATATTATCTCCAAGTAAGTAATGCAATATTACCAATATTAATAGTAATAATAATAGAAGCAGTAGTAATTGTAGCAGTATTAGTAACAGCAATAGGAGATATTAGTATTTGGAAGGTAGTTGTAACAATGGTAATGACAGTGATCATAGCAATAGTAACAATCTAGTGTTTGTAATAATGCTTGTCATTTATCAATTGGATGCTGATAGAGTTGTGGGGTGTTGTCGAAATGTAATAGTATGATAGAATTCGAGTGATTCACGTGGTGATGTCGTGTTAGTAACAATTAGTTTAAAGCACAGATCATTACATACACCACTTTATGGAAAAAGGGGTGGGATTAGAGAAACGTTTTTAGTTTAATTTAACGACACGGTTGAATAATAAATAACAAAATAGCGTATCCCGTTAAGATACACTAAATAATATTCGAGAGAAACATCAAGTATAATAATATCTTTATCAAATTCAAGCATCTTCAGTTTATGCTCGTTTAAAACAAACAAATATTTATGTATATATATAAAAAAGAAGAAAACATTCAAGTATGCTTACAATACGTATGCATACATGTAAATATGATTAGTAAGAAGAGTTAGAAGAAATGTTTTTATGTACAATTAGAATAGTCATAGAGCAGTAACAACAATAATAAGTAACATCAAAAAGATGATGCTTTTCGCTAACTAAGCTCGAAATAAATATCTAAAAAGCAAGCCATTCGCTTGTTGTCAAATCTTTTATAATTCGAGACAATGTCTTTCATCTTGTCCTAATGTTAAAAAAAATCTTATTCACCGCATATTCTCCCCTTTGGAACTTCACCCTTTGTATCATTTTTATGTCATTCATTCGCACATCTCTCTTATACCGTAGATACAAAAGTCCTAAGAACAGTGCTCTTAGGTATTCTACAAACAAACTTAAGTTTGCAAGGTATTCGTAATTTCTCGATGCACGGTTACCACGTCTTGTATAAATCCAGCTAATCTGGAATTCAAAGTTTCCAAGTTTTGTTTCTGAACTTTGTTCGCACATAAAGCAAGTTCTAATTGTTCTTGGACAACGTTTAACATATCACGCAATTCGGTATTCTCTTTTTGAAGAGCCTGAGAAAAGGAAGATTAAATAATAATATCATTGAAATGAATTGTTATCACAAATATTATCATCACACTACATACCACAAAATCTTTATTTTTTGCAGCCATAGTAAGAGCCTTAACTTCATCATTTCGACTTCTTAATTCACTTTCCAGTGCCTCCACTCGTAGCCTCAATGCTTCACTATTTCCTTCTGCTATTTTTCCAGCTTCCAGTTCTGCATACTTTGTTTTTACCCTGGCATTTTCTTCTTTATATAACTGCAATTGTCTCTTCCACTCATCCACGTTAGCTGTTGATTCTTGAAGCGCGCTTGTTAATCTAGCGTTGTTTGTTTTAAGAGTAGCCAATTCAACCTGTAATACATGCCACATTGTAAAAATGATGGAAAATTGTATTTATTTAAATGTATTTACATTCCTATTATTCTTTTATCCTGTGCATATGCATGCTCTGATGTAACCAGAATTAGTATTGAGCATGTAGGAGCATATTGTGCTACAAACATACCTCCCATTTTTTGGCATTAGCAGAACTTTGAGCTAAAGCAAGCTTCAACCTGTCATTTTCATATTTCAGCTGCATCTCTGCCGACTGTCCTGCTTGCGTCGAACCAAGTTGGGCTGATTTCCCTTGGTGCTGTGGGCTTTCTGTATTCTGCTGAGAAACACTTTGTGATCTTGAATGGACTGCATTTTTCAATTCATCGTCCGTTTTATTTTGACAACTGCCAGGTAAGGGACTGCTGCTTACCAAAGATACACTGTTTTGAGCAGAGATCATGTTTGCATTTGGATTAGGATTATTCGATGCCGACACATTAGAGTTGATCATCGAAGAATTTGGTGGATCTATAAGATCCTGCTCCGAAGAAGGCATCCCTGATCTCGATGTGATTGGACTAACATTTGCACTAGTGGCTGGCGTGACCGACGAGCTGTTTGATTGTAGCTTAGCATTGGCTAACTTAGTTGCTTCTTTTACTTCATGAAATTTTTCAATAAACTGTCAAAGTAAAGTTGAACCGAGTGTATTCATGAAATGTTTAGAAGAATACAAATTTTGTAGACAAACGTAATATATACAAACCTTGCCTAACTCTGCTTCAGAGGAGAATCCTAAACCATATACAGTATTAGCCCTGACATCGGACCATTGACCAAATTTTTGTGAAGTTTTTGTAAATGTCATGTTTGGTGTAATAGTGCTGTTTATTACTGCCTAAAAGTATAGAGTTAAAAAAGAATACGTATAATTTTTATAAGTGATACTACACATTTGCACACCAAATTGAAAACAAGAATCACCTTAGATCCTTCTACAGATATTATTCTATAAAGGCTTCTAGTCGAATCATAAAAAAAAGAGACAGAAACTGCAGCTGTCGAGGCAGATACCCATGAACGTTTAGTTTTAGGATCGATATGAAATACGTGCGCCTTGCACGAGAAAATTGGTTGTTCACTGTAATTAATAATGGAAGGTTAGAATATAAATAATATTTCAAAGATCCATGTGTGTACGCATATCCCAATTTGGATCAACAATAATAATAATAATAAATATGTATCTTCGTTTGGGATTTTCACATTGCTAAGTTTTTCTTTCAAAGCAGTTCTTGTTGCTGATTGTGCAGATGTTCCATTGTGCAAGAAGATAAAACAGTTATTGTTTGGTTAGAAATAAGAAAATAAATTTGTTTTGACAAATTGAAAAAAGTAGAAGATCCAGTTTAAATTTGAACAGGTTCGACATCATTCCGGAGGAAGTTCAGGAAATAAGTGTAAAATAAAATCATATCGTTAAGAATTCTCTTACAAAAGATAACTATATTTCTGATATAGATTTTGCGATTGCTACAAACAATACATGCAGTTTGTACAATTTAAATGCAAACAAGCATCGAGGAATCAAAATAACAATTTCGCTATTAATGATTCTATTTTATAATTAACAATAAAATTATAATATTTAGCACAACAAAAATTAAAAATTAGTTAACTATGTAAGAATGTGCATGCCTATTCATGCGAATAAATAGAAACATAATCGCATTATATGGTTCATCTGAAAAGAAAAAAAGATATATCACACATTTATCATCATAAATATATATCTATATGCGTACATATATACATATTATATATATTATATATAATACGTATATGTATATATGCATTATAATTTTAAAATCGATAAGAAGATAATAATAAATAATTTGTGATATAAAAAGAGGTAAGACAATAACGAACAACAAATAAGAAATTGACAAAATGGGGAGAGCTCATTGGTTGTTAAATAAAATATAGTAAAAAAAGAAAAAAAGAAATGACACAGTGTGTGCGTGTTATTGTTTATATCATACAAAACTTTTACATGACTTTTTCTAAGAAAGTCAGTTTATTATTTTTTTTTTTTTTTACGATAAGGCTGCTCTACAAAATAAACAATTGCTTTTTTTATTTTTTTTTTCTATTTTTTACGGGAAGAGGTCATGTATATCAAATTTGGCTAGCCCGCTAGAGAGTTAGATAAAGGCCACACTGAAAAAAAAAGAAGAGGAAAAATAAGAAAGGTTATTCTCGTACAGTCCATTTTCGTATGTACAAGTCGTCATTTAATGCGTATCAGTGATCAAGTTAGCGCTACGAAATATGGTGGATGAGTTTTAACCAGAATGACCTATTTTATATAGATTGATAGAGAGTCGACTGATTAATAAATCGACAACAATCCGAATGTACGACGTCAAAATTGATTTTCGTATGTAGAGACACATTACACACCCTTGAGAGGCGGCGCGAGTTCTCACCGTATTCACTTACCCCATTATTTCTTTACTCGTTAACGTGCAAATAACAGTTACTCCAATAAATATTACTAATCCAATAAAGTTTCCAAGAGAAGGGATCGTTGAGTATTCTGATATTTGACTAGGAACCCCTGTTCGAAAAGCAGAGACCCACCAGTTGACAGCCGCCATCGGCCAAATTCTATAGCGAGTGCCAATGGTTACGCGATATCATGAAAGTAGACGAACTTTAACGACACCTGGATTTCATCGATTTTCTACTAAAACCTTCAACGTCCACTGTATTTATCAACTGGATTTATTTTATCCTCGAACAAGGTAAACCACCACGAAACGTTTTTAACCAATCACAAACCTTATCGCTTATCCACTCTTTCTTAACGCAGATTCGAGAAAACAAAAGACGATGACATTTCATTGGTTCCATTAATTTCTTCTAACTAAATTAACTAAATTCATTCCTCTTACTTTCACGTACTATTTTAAAATGTTTTTTTTCTTATTATCACGCACTAATCATCAAATAATAATAATAAATAACAATACAAATGAAATAAAGAAAAATCAAATTAAATCTTTCGTGGCGCTCTCTGCAATAAATCGCGACAAATCTCGATATCTCGATTTTCTCCTCTGTGATTGGTGGATGAGAAAGCGAGGATGCTGGGTTAGATCATCTCCGCGGTTTTTTCTTTTTTACAATCTTACCGATAAAAACGTTTCATGTATTCGTAAATGATTAACAAAGATTAAACGATGCGTTGAAGTTTGAAAATAAATAAATCTTGATCTCGTTGAAGTTGGCAACAATCGTAAAGTATAACCTACTGGTGCGCAAGTGTTATATGCGCCGTATATAACATCGACTCTAGAAAGGGTTTTCGCATTATACTCTTTCGCGTGGCGTCGATTGTGCCTTTACAAAAAGGGGGTTGGAAGGGAGGTGATAAAGGAAAAGAGAGATCGTCTGGAGCGATAGGAGGTTTTGTTTCTTCGCGAAGCGACAAGCGCTTTGCTCTCAAAGAGAAGAAAGAGAGAGAGAGAGAGAGAGAGAGAAAGGGGAATAGATAGATAGAGAAAGATAGATAGATAGATAGAGAAAGAAAGAAAGAGAGAGAAAGAGAGAGTGAGAGAGAGACAATGAAAGTGCGGCACGTTGAGTGGGTGTCGGGTTGGAGGGGGGATTACCATGAGAGAAAGAGGAGGTAGAGGTGTTATTAGAGAGTAGGAGAAGTTGCGCGCGCGAGATTGGCAGAGGGAGTGAGAGAGAAGGAGAAACTGAGAGAGAGAGAGAGAGAGAGAAAGAGTAGTAGAGAAAGGTACATAAAGGTACATAAAGAGAAAGAGAGTGAGAGAGAGTGAACGAAAAGCAAGCGAAGAAACGCGGTCGCAAAAGAATAGTTAAAGGAGAAAGAGAGAGAGAAAGAGCAGCAGGAGGGCAAAAGTCGTTCGTTTCGTGAGTCGTGTCATGGCCGCATCATCGTTGTAAGAGAAAGAGAGACATTGGTAGCGTGCGCGTCGTACGGTGAACACGAGAAAGATAGAGATAGAGAGATAGAGAGAGGGAGATAGAAAACGTGCGTGAACGAATAAAGAGAGAGAGAGAGTGAGAGAGAATAAAGAGAGGGAGTATAAATCTGGAGAGATAATGAAATGACGGTGCGTTCGAGCGAGTAGGCGCGAAAACGGTAGTGCGCGCTAAGAAATCGGGTGCGTGTGTGTCCGGTTAGACGAGAGAAATATAAAGAAAGAAAGAAAGAAAAAGTGAGTGAGTGAGTGAGTGAGTAATAATTGTGTGCTCGTTTGTGTGTATGTGTGTATGTTAAAAGTGTGTGTGAAAGAGAGAGAGAGAGAGAGAAAGAAAAGTAATCGACGACGTGTGTTTTCCCGATGCGGAAGCTCGTCCGAGGATACGAGGATAGAGGGTGCTTTCGCGTGTGTGATTAAGAAAAAATACAAAAGAAAAGAATAAAAAAAAAAAATAAATAAATAAATAAATAAATAAAAGAAAGAAAGAAAGAAAGGAAAAAAAGAAAAAGAAGAATAAAAGAAAGAAGAAAAGAAACTACTACTCTCTCTCTTTCTTTCTCTTTCTTAATTCGCGATTAAATAACGATGAACAACTTCAACTTCAGTGAATTGTGTTGCCTGTTTTGCTGTCCGCCCTGCCCATCGAGAATCGCCGCTAAGCTAGCGTTCCTACCTCCGGAACCTACGTACACGTTTATCGAGGACGAGGGTTCCTCGAAGTTTACGATATCATTATCGGAACGTGCCGAGTGGCAATACAACGAGAGAGAACTGGAATCCGTAGAAGGTTTTTACGCGAGAACGTCTCGAGGAAATCGTATAGCATGCGTATTTGTACGTTGTTCGGCAACGGCACGATTCACATTATTATTCTCCCACGGAAACGCCGTAGATCTTGGCCAGATGTCTAGCGTCTATCTTGGATTAGGATCAAGGATTAATTGCAATATATTCAGTTACGATTATTCGGGATATGGATTATCAAATGGTAAACCATCGGAGAAGAACCTTTATGCCGATATTAACGCTGCCTGGCATGCTCTAAGAACGCGATACGGTATCAGCCCGGAAAATATTATTCTCTATGGTCAAAGTATCGGAACCGTGCCCACCGTCGATCTTGCTACAAGATACGAGGTTGGCGCGGTCGTTCTGCATTCGCCGCTCATGTCCGGCATGCGTGTTGCATTTCGAAGTACTAAGAGAACTTGGTTCTTCGACGCCTTTGCCAAGTAAGATTTTCTACTTTCCTTTTTTTTTTACTTTCTTTTCGCTTATATCTTTATCTTTATCTCTCTTTCTCTCGTTCTCGTTAACAAGACACGTTCTACATCTCAACGATGACGCATCTTTCTTACGTGTCCGCGTACTCCCGCAACTAATCCGTAATAGTCATCCTTTTACCACAAAAGAAAAAAATATATATTTCTATGTACTAGCTTTCATTTCGATACGATACGTCTGAACAACCGCGACATGCGCGTGCGACAGAAATGAAAGCAATACATAAAGAGAGACAGAGATAGGATAGACGAGATAGATTGAAAGATAGAGAGAGAGAAAGAGAGAGAAACATAGATCTATGTTGACATACACGTGCTTTTTACTGGCTGTTGTAACAACTGATACATGAAATTAAGCCTGTATTATGAGTCTCGCATTATGACGTTCTGTTAAAATCCAATTATTGAACATTTTCGCGTATACGTTTTAAGAAGCAACAAAAGTTTGGTTCACTCGCGTCATGAAAACCTATAAATCGCTCGTCGTTCCTTATCGCAACTCGCTAATTGGTATTAACTTTTTTTCCACGTATATCGCATGCGTGTCGAATTAAAGATTATAACCTTTGTTATTTATGCACAAAAACATATCACATACTTTTCATTGAAAAACACAATGAGAATTCATTGTGTTTTTCTTTTAATTGAAATTGTTATGAAGCTATTGTGTTCTTTTTAAAAGTTATCATTATTTTAAGATTACACTTATCTTTTCTTAACTATTTATCTACTCTGGTCTAAATTCATAAGTTACATTTTTTTTTTTTTGATTACAGTATAGATAAGGTACCCAAAGTAACGTCTCCAGTTTTGGTTATTCATGGTACTTCAGACGACGTTATAGATTTCAGTCATGGACAAGCTATTTATGAGAGGTGTCCGAGAGCTGTGGAACCATTGTGGATTGATGTATGTATTTTGTACTTAGAATAAGACAATGTTTAGCTCTTGAAATAAGATGCATTCCTAATGTTTTCTTTTTCTTGTAGGGAGCCGGTCACAATGACGTAGAACTTTACAACCAATATTATGAACGACTGAAGCAATTTGTAAGCATAGAATTGGTAAACTGACGGCGACTAAGCCTCTCCCAGAGTCAGGGGGGGCAGGGAGGTGGAGATACACAGGTTAGCAGTCAGAGTCGCAGTACTGCGAATGATTCAAATACCATCAGTTCGATTTCAACTAGTTCTCTGACAGAAAAACTTGTCTAGCAGTCACCTCCCACAGGGGAGAAGGCTCCTGTCCTCCCCTGTGATAAAGAGTCATCTTTTACTTCTGTGGACGATGTGGTCCTCGCCCGTAAATTACCTTTTGCTTCTTTGGCCGACAGCCAAGAAATTTATTTTAAACAGATCTCAAAGAAAAACCGCTCTAAGAATGTGGATCCGTGTTTGGATGGACATGTTAAGAAACTGAACGTAGATGCCAATTTAAAGAATCCGATGCAGAAAAGTTATTCTACCAGTACAGTGGAAAATGAACAAGGTAAAACAGAATTGGAGAGTGCTAATAGTTGTCACGATGTTAGAACAAATAATACTGGCCTATCTACCAAAAAATTAGCAAGCTTGTCGAAATATTACAAGTATGTGGATGGAAAATTAAAACCAATTCCCTCATTTTCAAATGCTTCTGCAGGTGCTAAAAAAGGAAGTAACGATTTAAAGGATACTACTACTACTACAGCTCATAGTAATATTAAATCGGACAAAAAGAATCCCTTGTCCCAGTTTTATTACAATGGCGTAGAATCAAATCGTAAACCACGCTTACGTACTTCGATTGTGGAGGGTATTACGAAAGGGAAGAAGATCGACGATAAGGAGGAACGTAATCGAAGTGTTAAGTATCATTGCGAGTCTACTACGAAAAAGTTTTTGTGGAGTGGAAATTTTCATCCTTTAAGAAATCTTGGTAGATCGTCGTTGACTGTAGAACCTGATAAAATCACCATAAGCTCGTCAAAATATTCGCCATGTGCTAGTAGGCTCGCAGCTAGTTCGAAGATATTATCTAACGATTTAGGGGCAAATTCTGACAGTCCTTTGCATGTACCAAGATCGAGAAGTCCATCCCGATTGGACGTACAACCAACGGAAAATAATTTGCCGAAGAACGTCGTTATTGACGAAAGAACGTCGATGCAGGGAAGTTTGTCATTAAATATACAACAATTTTTAAAGACTAAATGTGCACCACGTAGTAAAAGTGTCGACGACAGTTGTGTAACTTCACTGACTAGCGAAGCTACGACGCTTAGTTATTCACCCACTAGCACGGAGGTATTGTCTTTAGGAGAGGTCGGTCAGCAAACGTCCTCGGCCGAAGGCTCTGCTAGTTATTCTGAAGTGATGAAAGAGAAACTGGTCATAGAGTGCTCTGATAAAGTTCAAAGAGCGTCATTAGAAACTAAGTGTTAATAACTCTGATACATTTCGCTCATTGCTGTTCCGCCAATTTCTCTCTTCCAAATACCTTTAAAAAAAACAAACAAACAAACAAACAAACAAACAAACAAACAAACAAACAAGCAAACAAAAAAAAAAGATAAAACGAGAGAAGATGCAAATTTTTATTATTCGTTACGTTGACGTATTTTAGGCTATTATATTAACGTCAGTGATATAACGTTAACATACGTGACAGCATACTCACATGTTTATAAACTTTACACTCCATTTTCAGGAATGTGAAAAGATTTAGTATGTATGTGTGTGCACGTAAGAGTTTGCTCGCTAGCTCGCGCGCGCATCCACCTTTATCGTATTCGTACCTATCAAACTCGTGCATGTTTGTATTTGTTTTGTGTGCATGCGCGCGCGATAATGATGATGATGATGATGATGATGATGATGATGTGGTGTTAAACGAAATTCCCATGCGATATAACTGCGGAACACATTGATGTTACAAATATTACAAGTATTATTATTTCTATTATTATTATTACTATTATTATTATTATTAATATTAGTTTTGTTTGTTCGTTATTAATATAATTCTTTTTATAAGTGATTTTGAAGATTTCATCATTGTGCATGTATAGTAACGTTTTCTTTTTTTTCCTTCTATTTTGTTGTTTAAAAAAAAAAGCAGAATAATTTTTAACTATCATTGTGCAATATTTACATTTTTCTTATATTTTCAGTTTTGTATTTTATTTCGTTATTATTATTTTTTTTTTGAAAGAAAGATAAAAAGGAAAAGAAAATTTATATAAAATAATATATATAGATATATATATATATATATATACACCATACATTTTTGTTAATAGCGATTATGTTCATTAAGATAAATAATAATAACACCTAACGGTGATACACTCTTTTCGTTTTATCAAATTTCTCTTTGGTGCATTTATTTTTCATTGTTTCTCTTTATTAAAATGTATTATTATTATTTTTCTTTTTTTTTCTTTTCTTTTTAACGACACAGTAACATCTACAAACACACATGATACACGAGTATGTAACATTATTGCGTGTGGGATCTAGCTGATTGATCAAAATGTTGTGTTTGCCAGGAAGTATGGTTCCTGATCTGCACTATTGTCATTGTATAATGATAATGCGATAGTATGTGAAGTTAGAATCATACTATATATATATATATATATTAATTCATTCAACATCGTTAGAATAAAAAATGATACTCTTTTATAAAGAAATACAATGGTTAGAAAAATAATATTAAAAAGATATTTAATGAAAAAGAAAAACTCATAAGATAAAATAAAATAAAATAAAATAATAATATTAATTATAATAATAATAATAATATAATAATAATATTATTAATAATAATAAATAAAATAAAATTAAATATGAATTACAAAAAATGAAAAGAGGTCATCTCTGTGAGATGTTAAATTATCGCTTCTTAATACACATTATATTAACATAAACAAAACAAACAAAAAATACATTTTATCTATATCGATTAAGAAAAAAAAAAAAAAATAAGATGAGATTCATACAATTAGAAATTGTTAAATTTAGTTAATCATTCTCGATGATAACGAAGAGACTAAGATTATGACGATGATAATGGTGATTATAATGATAATGATAATGATAATGATCTTTCTTTTCGCATATTAATATTAAAATAATAATAATAGTAATAATAATAATAATAATAATAATTATAATAATAATAATTATTATTATTTTTCGTTCTTTTTCTTTTGATCGTGTTTAAAAAAAAAAAAAAAAGGAAAAAAAGAGAAAAAAAAAGAAAAGAAAAGAAAAGAAAAAAAGAAGCAATGAGAAAAAAAGCTGTGTGATTTTTAAATGGACGATCATGTAAGATTTGACGCTTTTGCGAAAAAAGCTTACAGATGTTATCTGTGGTGTAGTTAAGGACTGAGATATATCTTCCAAGATAGAAGTATAAAGATTCTCTTTTATAGGATAAGAAGATATGGTATATAGAAAATAATATGATGTATGACGTGTTGCGAGAGATCGTTGTAATAATACGATTTCTAACGGGTTTACTACCGTTTTGCGTATCCCGTTGTGAAAAGGTAATACGTGCCGATCGTGACGTGGATTAATATTATTATTAACGCAAGCAACAATAAATTAAAAAGAATGGAAATAGCTAGAGACAATATAACTGCCAAATTTGACTATGAATTAGTTAACTTCTAATGAAGCGAATCGTGTGAAGGATCTTGTCTATAGGGGTATGTTTCTCGTTAGTATTTTTATATCTCGATAATGTATATAGAGTGCAATTAGAACATCTTCTTTATTAGTGATACGCATTAAAGAAATATTATTAATATTAATAATAATAATAATAATTAAAAAAAAAAGGTAAAAAGAAAAAATTATAAAAATGACAAAAAAAAAACTACATACAGAGAACATATAAAACATAAATACACACACACACTCTCTTATTTACGACGATAATTGCGAAGAAATCAGAGCAAAAAGGAGAGCCTATGGAATAGAAAAAATTCAATGAAAATAAATCAAACATGAATATAAAATAAATATTGAAATTAAATGAAAAAAAAAAAAAAACAACAGGATAGTTGAATGTTCAACTTGTTAGAACAGCACATCCCCTTATTTTACACACACTCACATACATACACGCACGCAATGCTACTTTTTAACGATTAGATTTTACTAAATTCTTCTTGACGACCTCACTAATTTTATATTTATATATATTATATATGTATATACATATATATATATATATAAAGATTAAGAAGAAGATAATGTTGATAAGTAGGCTAAAGTAGCCTCGAATCGCATAAAAAAATACTTCATTTAAATACTTACATCGTTGAACTTTCATTATCGATCGTACCATAAATATCTCTCTTATGATTCGTAGGTGATAAGAAGAAAGTCGAATAATAATAATAATAAAAAAAGAAACAAAGAAAGATAGAAAGATATAAATAATGAATAAAAATAGTTTATTTCGATCGGTTACTATTTTACACCTTTCCATCGTGGTAATCTATGAAAAGAGTACTTGCCGTTTGTTGAACATGGAGATCGCGTGGTAAAGTAGAACGCTACCATTTTGATCGGCGGTATTTATATTTTTAAAATAATTTTCATTTATATTTTTACTATTTTACAAACTTACTCTATCTTTTCCTTTTTTTTTTTTTTTTTTATTCTTTTGTTGCATTTTTAATTTTGCGATCTCGCGCGTGTTTGACAAATTTTAACATTCTTATTATTTTGAAATAAAGAAATAACAAAAAGAGAAGAGAAGAGAAGAGAAGAGAAACAATTCACGTAAGGTACCTGTATAAATAAAATCGATATATTTTATTATTCATCGATTCCAGTTCTTATGAAATTCCGATGAATATTTTCTTCTACTAACGTGAATCGTCAAAATTGTTTTACTTTTTTTTTCCATCTTATATATCATCTAATATATATTATATCATACAATCGTATTTTTTTCATAAATCATTTCATCATACAAATGACGTTCTTCCAATTGTATTGTATGTAATTTAGACACACATACACATACACAAACACACATTACAACATACATAATACAGTAATCCCTTCATTTACCTGGATTCCCTATAACGCATTTGAATTTATCCAGATTCCATCGTTGCGAATATGTGTTATGTGAACATTCAAATTCAAATGTATATTCCATCCTTAATGTAATATTATTTCAATTACTTAACGTTAATATTACTTATCTACTTTCAAATAAAACATTTTAAATACATATTATAAAAAAAAAAATATTCAAAATCGATTTTTATTTTAAATGACTTTTCATTGGGGAGGGAGGAGGGACATGGGAGGAGGAGGAGGAGAGGTTCCCTTCCATTTACCTTTGTTTTCCAACCAATTAACTCGTGCAAATGAAGGGATTATCTGTGTACATTATTCATCGATTTTTCGATCCTTATTATAAATGAATCCAATTGCAATGATTTCTTCGTATAGCGTAAAAGGAACGAGTGAACAGAGGTGTATAAACGAAAAGTTGTTAAAGATTATTATCTAAGCGATTCACAATCATCGTTTATCAATGCGTACATTATTATTCATTCCATTGGCTCCCCCCTCCCTTCTTGTAGGATTATACTGATCTAATTAAGTATTTCGTAAATCTCTCAATAAATGAAATAAAAAGACATTTGGCGTTGTTTCGTGTTCGATAAGAAAAAAAGATTGAAAGAGAAGAAGAAGAAGAAGAAGAAGAAGAAGAAGTAGAAGAAGAAAGAAAGAAACAGCATTAACAAAAACAAGAATTTTTCTACGGCGCATGACAATTTTCAACGTATATATGTTTACATTTTTTTTGGGGTCCTTTTATTTTTCTCTCTCTCTCTCTCTCTCTCTCTCAATCTATCTTTCTCTCACACACACATATCCCTTTCCGTGCGTCTATCGCATGTTGGGGGGGATGATCGACCAGGTTTGTTTTTAAAAATATTCTTTGTTTTTCATATTAAATGTTCATGTTCACATATTAAATCATAACTCGATTTGTTGTACCGAGTAATATTTGTCACAACAACACTATCTCATCACCTTAAACCATTACCTCACCACTACCATCACCATGATACATTAACATCGGTATTTCTAATTGTACATAATGGCGTGTAAACGGTATATTAGAAGTAACGTTATCTTAATTCATTCAGTTTTCATTTTCATTTCTTTTTGTTTTTTTCTTCTTTACTTCGGTCACTGTGTGTTCATGAGTTCATGGGGGTGGACCAAGTTGTAGAGGGAAAGTAAAGGTCGTGAGGGGTAGGAAAACGTTAGATTTCATTTTGAAATAACAAAGCGTTTTCTGTCGGTCGAGAAAATGGTGTATAAATTTATGTTCGTGACTATTGCAGCTTTTTCTTCGAGTAAAAGAAAAAGAAAAAAAAAATGGTTAAGGATAAGAATACGAAAGAAAGTAAAAAAAAAAAGAAAGAAAGAAGAGAGAGAGAGAGAGAGAGAGAGAGGGAGGGAGATGAACAAAAAAGGATGAGAGGTCGACCGTCTTGAACGAATATACCGAAGATTAATTGTTAATTTAAAACGGAATAATAATTAAAACTTATCATTTCTTACGATAATAATCATATAAAGAAAGAAAAAGTAGATTGAATAATAAAAGAGAGAGAGAGAGAGAGAAATATAAATAGAAAGAGAGAGAGAGAGAGAAAGAGAAAAGTTGGATTAAAATTAGAAAAGAAAGTAGGAAGAAAAAATACCAGAGAAATGATTATTATACATTAGTAATAGAACAAAAAAAAAGAAAACGAAGAAGAAGAAGAAGAAGAAAATAAAAAAAAAAATAAAAAAAATAAGAAATATATATATATATATATATATTATATATGTATATACATATATATATATATATAAAGATTAAGAAGAAGATAATGTTGATAAGTAGGCTAAAGTAGCCTCGAATCGCATAAAAAAATACTTCATTTAAATACTTACATCGTTGAACTTTCATTATCGATCGTACCATAAATATCTCTCTTATGATTCGTAGGTGATAAGAAGAAAGTCGAATAATAATAATAATAAAAAAAGAAACAAAGAAAGATAGAAAGATATAAATAATGAATAAAAATAGTTTATTTCGATCGGTTACTATTTTACACCTTTCCATCGTGGTAATCTATGAAAAGAGTACTTGCCGTTTGTTGAACATGGAGATCGCGTGGTAAAGTAGAACGCTACCATTTTGATCGGCGGTATTTATATTTTTAAAATAATTTTCATTTATATTTTTACTATTTTACAAACTTACTCTATCTTTTCCTTTTTTTTTTTTTTTTTTNATAAATATTTCTAGATAATTCCTCTCTGCTAGGGGGTTATTTTAGAATTTTATACTTCCACCACACACCACACACTCGAACTCGAGCGTACTGTATTATGATGGGGTACAATTGCGAAGTACTTTATTAATCTTGTGAAATGTTAAAACACGATATATAATTACGATGTAAATTACATGTTTAAGCACACAGATATAAAACAGTGTTGTTGTCTTCTATTATTATCCAACACCTTGACTGTTCGCATTCTGTCCTGAAAAGAAGAAAAAAAGAAAACGACCTCATTTACCTTATTAAAAAATGAGAAATTCCATGACTTTTTTGTTGTTGTTGTCTACATCTGGTTACCTAGACACCTGGTTATTTTACTTATATATGGGGTATTAGACGTTTAAATTATTTTATCATTTTTGATCAAAAAAGTTTGAGCAAAATTGAAAGGGGTTGGGATCAAAAGTGGTCGATTTGACATGAAATGTCCCATATGTATTACGTTTGTAGATATTTCATACTAAATATACCACCATTTTCAATATACCTATTTCTATCACACTAGTTAAAATGACTGATGTATAAAAAAATGCTTTTTGAGGCATCCAGTCTTTATTAATTATTCTTAAAACAATAACAACAAATGTTTAACAAGAATAATTTTAATAGATCATTGGATTTATAGAATATTTTTAAATAACAAAACACGTTTAATTATTTACAGAAATCAAATGTTACATGAAGTAGAAATTTTCAATTAAAATGACCTGATTAGTCAAAATGACTGGTCTTGTATATCAAGTGTTAACAATAAGTTGTTCTATATTGCTATAACGAAAGCCAATCTCTTTCAAGTTGTATTCAACTTGAAAGCAACAGCAGCAGCAGCAGCAGGAGCAGCTAGGATGATGAGGTGAAGAGGAGGAGGAGGAGGAGGAGGAAGAGGAAGGGGAGGAAACGTCGTTTGAAGAGAAGTACAGAGTTGGGGCTTCTTCTTTCCTCGGACTTGTCTTCTGTTGGCTTGGCTGGCTCACCTGCGCTGAAACCTGATGCGGACGATAAAAATGAGAACAGGTTGCTGGACGCCGTCGACTCGAGTTCTCGTACGGTACGTCGTCGTCGTTGTTGTCGTCCTCGTCGTCCTCGTCGTCGTCGTTGTCGTCGTCATCGTCGTCGTCTTCTTCTTCTTCATAGTCGTAGTAGTAATCGTACAAAACAAGTAAAGTCACTTTTTAGAATGAAACTTAGCAAGCAAAACTTGTATTCAATACGCAATATTATGATTGTTTATTTATACAATACTTTATAAAATAATAATTTAAAGTTTTTTGTTTTTGTTTTTTTTCTTGTGTGTGTGTGTGTTACGTAGAAATCTCGTTTTCTTTTATATTATTTGTTTGTAATATTTATGATTAATTAAATGATGTTTGTTTAACAAGTGTCATTACTTGTTTCATACGCTTTTTGCTCGTAATCAAAAAAAATTTCTGATTTATTCTTCCCTTTTTTTTACAAAAAAAAAAAAAAAAAATTAATTGTGCATAACTTTCTTTTGAATAATTACTGAACTCTTCAGAAACTGTAGACCATTCCTCTTTTCTTTTGTATGTATTTATACTACATATGTACACACAACGATATTCGGTCCAGAGAACTAATATGCATTGTTCCATACGCTCGTTACTAGAACGTTCTGTTAGCTTTCGTCGAATGGTGGAGTAAGATAAAGGGAGAAGGGAAAGGGTAGGACCAGGAAAGAGCTTTGGTCGGTGAAGAACATGCTAGTCAGTGAAAGGGGTTCATGCGAATCCTATATACTCTCTAAATGCAGTATGTGATTATGTTTGTTGGAAAATTCATCTCTTTTTTCTTTTTTTATCGAAGATCTATCGATTAAACTAATCGAAAAGATAAAACTGAAAAGAATGTACGAATAATCCACTTTATTAATAATAATAATAATAATAAATCATTTATATTCAGGTAAAAGTCAGTAATATAACACTTTACGTTTGCTTCAAATTTCACAAACGATACGGAAATTTTTAATCCATATAAAGCATCAGTAATAAGCTGTAAAAGCATTAACAAAAAGTATACATTTTTTAAATCTGAGATTTTGCACATTAACAATTGATTTGATAAGCAATAATTCTCRATTCGATTCGATATGAAAATAAACTATTTCGATTTTTATAAATCAATATAACGGTAAAGTAAATAACAAGTGGATGAATACTAATCGTGATATTTCGATATTAGAAAGATTTGAATAGAGATAGATAGAGATACAAAAAAATGTCTCCTTAATTTTCCCATTTTAAAAAAGGAAGATAAGAGGAAGGTGAATAGAAAGGTGGAGAAGGGAGAGGGGGGGGGGAGAGGGATATACGAACGGAATCTCAGGAAAGCAATCACGTTGACGCGAAATATACATAGGCTTATGTTAGGTTGAACGGTAAGAAGAATGGAGAAGGGGAACGAAGTGAATTGAAAGGAACATATCGTGTTGGCTAGCTACTCGAAGGGACCGAAGGAAGAATGGCCGTGGACCTTTCTGTCCGTCGTAGAATTGGTGATGGTGGTGGGGGTAGGGAGCGTGCGAGGTTGCGTGTACGGGAGCGAGAGAGAGAGAAGAACGAGACCGAAAGAAAGAGACACCCTAGCGCGCCAGTCGATTGACTGGTGGTAGGGATGGCGCTGAGTGGTAGGGGTACGCGAACGGCTGTAGCGGCAGTTGCCATCCGAACGTCGTGCGCGAAACATATGTGTCGTTCCGTCCGCTACGCGTGTCAACTTATTCGTTCGCGTTGTTCTATGTCGTATTATAATAAAACGATTACGGGGTGGAAGAAATAAGGCTTCCTTACGCGATTTTTATTCGTTTTGTGAGAGTTTTTCTTTTTTTTTCTCTTCAATCGTTAATATAATCGACCGACGTTTATTATTTATTCGATAAATTACACGGAGTTATATACGTAAATAATTCATTATATTGATTAATAAAAGAAGAAAAATACAAAACAGTGAACATTGGTTGAGTGACCGGAAAGTGTTTTTTCAAATTATTTTGTGTTCGAATCGAGTAAGTTAAAAAGAAGCGTCATGGAGTCTCCATGACAACGATCGCTTCTTTTTCGGCGTTTTTTCATGGCCGATTGGCACCCGCATTAGTAATAGTGACCTGAAGTTTACTTCGATCTGAAGAAAAAAAAAACCGCCAGATATTTTCAATCGTTTAATTTTGGGAATAGAATAATCATTTCGAAGAGGATATTATAGAATAAAAAAAGTGTGTGCATGTGGTGGAAGAAATTGATGCAAGGGAGGAGGACATTGTAACACTTGTTTTGTGGTAAGTGGTGAATGTATAATCATTTTTACTAATCGATTGATCGAATCGAAATATATATCGTCGCGTTGCGTTGCGTTGCGTTGTACCGCTAGGAGTCGCATCGATATTTGAAAAATTCCCGCGCGTCTTCTTTTGATCATGTTTCTTTTTTTTTTTATTTGACACCGTTAAAGGGATAATCTTCTTGCGTTGTACATTTTATTCTTATTCCTTTGAGTGATTTATATCAAACGTAATAATACAAAGTAAAGTAAAGAAAAGGTAAATAAAAAATAAAAAATAAAAAATAAAAATAAAATTAGAAAAAAAAAGGAAAAGTTGATAGGAGAGTAGTTTTTATCGCGTGTTTTGTTGCGTGACGCGTTTCTTCTTTGGGCACAGTGCTTCGTGGTTCGATGCCGAGTATAATAGGCGTCGTCGTCGTCGTCGTCCCCCTTTGAAGGGAACGAGCACTGCTTCTTCTTTTACCAGCATTGAAAATTGCCATGTGAGAATGACCTCACGGATCGTCGTCATAGTCGTAGTTATCGTAGTGTCTTGTCTTCTTTCTTCTTCTTTCCTCTTCTTCTTCTTCTTCTTCTTCTTTCTCCCTTTTAGTTTCAAGGGCGAAAGAAAAGTTGTTCAAAGTACGCGACACTCTAGAACTGCATTCTTTACTGCAGCTTTTCCCGATATAAGTACATGCATGTCCTCGATGTGGAAGAAAGTAATGGCCGCCATTGATAAAAGGTAAAGGGTGCTGGTTAAAAGTCGTAAATCATTTTAGAACGGGGTTTCCTTTAAAAACGATCTACTTTTTACCGTTACTCAGCATACACATATATATATATATATATATATATATATATATACTTTTATTTATTAATATAAATCGTTTTGTGTTTTCACGTAAACATAACATTCCAAACAACTTCGGGGGGTGAATTCGTCGAGACGCGTTGCGATTTATTTTATCCGCGTTCTACACTTTATTTAAACGTCAGAAGTTTTCTAAAGATAAGTCCGGATCATAAATTTTAACCACCGTTGCATATACACTCGATCCTTTTTATTTCTATTTATATCAGTCTCTCAAGAGGGGGGTTAAAAAAAAGGAAAAAAAGAAGACAAAATTTCTAACGACAAACTAGATTACACCAAAGTTAAAGAGATTTCCAATAATTTCAATGGAAATTTATACACCTTATTAAAAGAATATTAAATAATAATTTTTTGTTGTTGTTTTTTTTATTAGAAATTCGTCGATACTAAACGCATTAACGACAATTTATTGTTTCTAAAAATTCATTTACAGTATCGAATAATAATATTGTCAGATACGCGTTATCTTTTTCTTTTTTTTTTTTTTTACAACATTTCCTGTCATTTCATTTTATTACAAAATATTTTTATCGAAATTCAAAGATTAAGTTAGTAAATCATGGAAATTAAATGTGTTTTATTTAATATGTTGAATATAATGAAATCATGAAAAGAAATGTAGCTTTATATTTAGAAAAAAAAAAAAAAAGAAAAAAAAACCAAAGTTGAGCTTTAAATCAGATTAGTTTTATTCCTAACAACTTTTATTTGAGAAGTATATACTTTTAATATTGTATTTTAAATACCTAACTGCATAGTATAACGTAACATTATTATATTTTATTAAATAAGTTTAAAAAGAAAAAACTTTTGAATATGAATGAAACGTATAAAATACGTATTTATATAAATACTTGAAGTATGTGATTTAAAAGTAACATGGCAAAGTTACAGATGATTAAAAATAGTTATACGGTACAAATTAGCTTGTACGAGTTATTTTTATAATAATCCTAATTGATTGCAAAAGCTAACGTAATCTCCATGATTTACAAATATAGATATGTAAAACTTTATATTCGAATAATATCTTTAAAAAAAAATAATTATACAATAACAAATTTACAGACGTCATATGTCAACGTTTTAATTATAAATACTTTTATTCGATACCTATCACACACACATAAATAAATTTCATAATAGATTTTAAAATAGAAGATAGATTAAATACGAATTAATTATTTTATAATAATTTTAAACAAATCGTATTTGAATATTCCCTATGAAGAAATCATAGAGAATCCCTCCTACACCCCGAGTTATATTAGTTAGGAAGTTACCAAACGAAAATAAATAAATTTCATAATAGATTTTAAAATAGATGATAGATAAAATACGAGTTAATTATTTTATAATAATTTTAAACAAATCAAATTCGAAAATTTCCTATGATTAATGAATTTGAATTTTACAAAAAAAAAAAAAACTCATATTCGAAAATTCTGTATGATTTCTTCATCCCTTCCATGTTACATTAATTAGGAAGTTACCCGAAGGAAAATGAGAGGGAATGAGTTTGGTTGTTCATAGTCGATAAGTTAAATCCATTTACGTCAAATAGCATAAGCGTATCGTTACTTTACCGACAAAGCAAATCCTTGGCTTTCGTTCGGACTAGACTAGCTGTAGGGAATGGAGAAGGAGAATGAGAATGAGAGATAGGAGAGAAGAGCGATTTACGTCACTTTGATTTCGAAATCAAACGGACTACCTACCACTACTACCACTACTACTATTACTACTACTAATACAATCTCAGCACTGGTTGCTCTTGACGGTTCATTAAATAGAAATTAGACGCAACCCTGACGGCTTAGGACAGAGGCTACGCCTGCAATTACGCGTGGCTTAAGCAAGCAACAGCAAACGAAGGTGTACGAGCAAAGCGAATGTGTTTGTTTGTTGTGTTGTCTATGCTTCGACACAGTACTGCAACCAGCGGTTTTGGGTTCAACACGCGATCTACAGTTTGAGACACACCAGTTACAATCACCACCTTCTCCATTCTAACCGTAAAACTCCCTTTAGTTCTGTATTAACCAACTACACCACTTCCTAATCCTCTTATTTACCCCATTTCTTCGTGTGTGGGTGTGTGTATAGATATGTTCACGAATTTTCATCCTGAATTTTATTCTTGTTTCATTTTTTTTTTTTTCATAGAATTTGTTAGGAATCAATCGATCATTCAAATAGAAAAAACCTTTTAATCCAACATCAAAGGAATTTACCGTTTTCTCTGATCCTCTTACCTGTTACCCTTAGCATTCATTCTTTTTTGTACAAAATAATATTCACATTTTTGCACGTATTTTCCTTTATTCATTCTTCTTCTTTGTGTAATTGGTGCTGTTGAATATTTTCATAAATAAACTTTTGACAAATGTTTACAATTACACGATTTCATTGAACCGTGTATGAACTTGACGGAGAAAATTTGATACAGGTCGAGTATAATAATAAATAAAAAATAAAAATAAAAAGAAGAAAAAATGAAGGTAGAAGATGAAGAAGAAGAAGAAGAAGAAGAAGAAGAAGAAGAAGAAGAAGAAGAAGAAGAAGAAGAAGAAGAAGAAGAAGANAAGAAGAAGAAGAAGAAGAAGAAGAAGAAGAAGAAGAAGAAGAAGAAGAAGAAGAAGAAGAAGAAGAAGAAGAAGACGTTGAATGTCCAGGGCAAAAGATAATCGCGCATGTATGTAAGTACGATTGAAGTCTAGAAAGTCGAAGGGAGCTAAGCGTAGTAAAATACAGTACGGGGAAGGAAGGAAGCAAGCAAGCAAGCAAGCAAGCAAGCAACCAGACCGGCTTCCCAACGCGTTCTCTTACTTCCAAACCGGTTTTCTCCCTCCGTTTCTCTTTCTCTTTATTTTCTCTCTTCTTCTTCTTCGATGAGGCTCGTAACTCGAACGTAACGACGTAGCACGGTCGGCTCCGATAGTGGTCAGGCTACAGCTATGGCTATGGCTATGGCTATGGGTATGGGTATGGGTATGGGTATGGGTATGGGTATGGGTAAGGCTACATCTGGCACAACGTAAGAAAAGCACCACCAATCTTTAGGAAGCATTCGTAGAACTAGAGAATTATACTATTTTTATTTTTGTTACTTTACTTTTTTTCAAAACTTTACATTTTTCTTAGTTTTATTATAGCTTAGAATTTATTTTTTTTTGTTTTTTTTTTTAGGTTTGTATGTATTTGAAAGTATTTAGGATAATGTAGGTTTTATTTAGGTTATTGTTATTTAAATTAATGTGTGTGTATGTGTTTTTTTTGAGAGTTTGGTACTTTTGGTATCCCTTAGAATTTATACTGTTTGTAATTTTTTTTTTTTTATGGTTTTGTGCTTTTTTTTTTTAAAGTATCTAAGATAATATAGGTTTTATTTAGGTTATTATTATTTAAATTAATATGTGTTTGTTTTTTTTAGAGTTTGGTACTTTTGGTATCCCTTAGAATTTATTTGGTTTTTTTGTTGTGCTTTTTTTTTTACAGTATCTTTTTTATACAATACAAATATTATCGTTTCCAATTTGGCTGATTAGAAAAAAAAACACACACACACACACACAAGAACAAGAAAAAGGAAAAAAGAAAAATAAGAAATTGCAGGGGGCAAAGAAAAAAAATTGGAGAAATGATAACAGGCTGATTGCTAATTTAACTTTCCCTCTCCCACCCCACCCACCCCACCCCCATGTAACTTTAACGATGAAAGTAGACAAGAAAAAAGAAGAGGATAAAAGAACTTTAAAACAATAAGATAGAAAAAATGGATTCATTTTTTATTTATTTATTTTTATTTTCTTTTTTTGGGACAATATTTCGTGACTCGAGTTTTTTTAGGTTTCGTCGACGATTCCGAAGGATTCGCGTTTAGCTACTTATTTCATTTCAACGTTCAACCTCGATGATAGACATAATCGTTGGGTGTACGCCATGTCGTGAGTTGCAATTTGCGAAGAAATTACAGAGAGTGCAATGTTACGAGAGAGAGAGAGAGAGAGAGAGAGAGGGAGGGAGAGTAACTGTAGATAAGACAAAGAGGAAAGATGAGAAGGAGGAGGAGATGAAGAAGAACGGGGGGGTTGGTTGGGGGTGTGGAGTAGCCAGGAAAGAAAATGTTAACAGGAATT